AAGAACAGTTATCGCCATCAATTCATGACGATTTTATGACAGTTTTATGACGTATCCTAAGCCGAAATAAGAGAATCCACTTCGAATTCGCTTACGTGACAAATTCCCGTTAATCGAGTCGACCCCTTTATAGCGGCCGCCGAAAGTCGTGAGAGGAGCGGATAATAACAGGTCGTTCGCCGGTCGCATTAGCAGGGACAAATGACTGTGTAAGGTCGTATTTAAGGGGGGTAGGAGGGGGGGGGGAGTTGAGGGAGGAGGGGGAGGGATTTGGGGAGGGGGGAGAGATGGAGGAAGGGGGGATGGGAGGGAATGGAAGAGGTTGAGAGGGAAAAAGAGCGGAGAGGAAGAGGGAGGGAGGGAGGATAAGAGGAAGTGGGAGGAGAGAGAGAATAAGAGAAGAGAAGAATGAGAGAAGTAGGAGAAGAAAAGGAAGAGGAAAGGAGGAGAGAACGAAAAGGGCATGTATGCTAGATAGCTATAACTCGACGTAAAAATGGTGTGTGATCATGTTCTGTGTACGTATACATATATACCGTATTTTCAGGAGCCTTATTAAGCATGTACGAAATAAACGACTTCACAATAAGGATGAGGATTGGGGGGGGGGGGGTTATGAAAAGGATAATCAATACACCTGCTTAATAGATCTTTTGTATCTTGTTTCCTCAGACGTAAACGAGTGTGAGACGGAGCCCTGTGAACACGGTGGAACTTGCATCGACGAAGTGAACGGATTCTCCTGCAATTGCACGACAGGCTGGGAGGGAAATACGTGTCAGTTCGGTAAGTAGATCTCCTGGGTTGTTTGCATATATATATATATATATATATATATATATATATATTATATATATATATATAGAGAGAGAGAGAGAGAGAGAGAGAGAAAAGAAAAAAAGGGAAGAGAAAATGCATCTCCTGGAAATACGGTAGAGTAGATTCTCTCAAGATAAGGATACCGTACGTATTGCCTTCAGTCAGAAGAACAGTTATCGCCATCAATTCATGACGATTTTATGACAGTTTTATGACGTATCCTAAGCCGAAATAAGAGAATCCACTTCGAATTCGCTTACGTGACAAATTCCCGTTAATCGAGTCGACCCCTTTATAGCGGCCGCCGAAAGTCGTGAGAGGAGCGGATAATAACAGGTCGTTCGCCGGTCGCATTAGCAGGGACAAATGACTGTGTAAGGTCGTATTTAAGAGGGGGAGGAGGGGGGGGGGAGTTGAGGGAGGAGGGGGAGGGAATTGGGGAAGGGGGGGAGAGATGGAGGAAGGGGGGATGGGAGGGAATGGAAGAGGTTGAGAGGGAAAAAGAGCGGAGAGGAAGAGGGAGGGAGGGAGGAGAGAGAGAATAAGAGAAGAGAAGAATGAGAGAAGTAGGAGAAGAAAAGGAAGAGGAAAGGAGGAGAGAACGAAAAGGGCATGTATGCTAAATAGCTATAACTCGACGTAAAAATGGTGTGTGATCATGTTCTGTGTACGTATACATATATACCGTATTTTCAGGAGCCTTATTAAGCATGTACGAAATAAACGACTTCACAATAAGGATGAGGATTGGGGGGGGGGGGATTATGAAAAGGATAATCAATACACCTGCTTAATAGATCTTTTGTATCTTGTTTCCTCAGACGTAAACGAGTGTGAGACGGAGCCCTGTGAACACGGTGGAACTTGCATCGACGAAGTGAACGGATTCTCCTGCAATTGCACGACAGGCTGGGAGGGAAATACGTGTCAGTTCGGTAAGTAGATCTCCTGGGTTGTTTGCATATTATATATATATATATATATATATATATATATATATATATATATATATAGAGAGAGAGAGAGAGAGAGAGAGAGAGAGAGAGAGTGAGTGAGAGAGAGAGAGAGAGAAATCCACATGTGATATTTCTAATATCTGTCTTCACAAGTAAACTAGTAATGTTTATATACATCTATCGAAATTAAATTTATTATAACAATCGTAGTAAAGAGAAAAAAAATAAGTATAAGGACAAAATTGATATCAAATACAGCAAAAAAAAGACAACAACAGGTCTACTTACCACACCCTCTTCGCTTCCCTCCACTCACGCCTTCCCTCCACCCATCCCCTGTGCTTCCCTCCTTTCTTTCCACTCCTGTCCTTCCCTCCGCCCCGCCCCTTCCCTCCACCCCTCCCCTTCCTCTCCCTCCACCCTTCTCTTCCTCCCCATCCACCTCTCCTCCTCCCTCCGCCCTTCCCCTTCCCTCCCTCCCTCTCCCTCCCACCCTCCCTCCCTCCCACAGACTCCGACGAGTGCCAGGGCCGGCCGTGCATCAACGCCAAGGCGTGCCGCAACCTGGAGGGCGACTACGAGTGCGAGTGCCGCCGGGGCTGGAAGGGCAAGAACTGCAACGTCAACATCAACGACTGCAACGGCCAGTGCCTCAACGGCGGCACCTGCATCGACCTCGTGGACGACTACCACTGCGCCTGCTCCAAGGGATTCTCGGGTCGGTG